CCAGCTCTTCCCGAAAGCCGCACAATCAATTGGTAAATTTCTTGATGGGCCCTAAGATACCATTATAAAGTTTGGAGGCATACATGCTGAGGGAAATTCCGTCTGCACCAGGGAACTGTGCCATGAATAAGCCCACAAATCCATATACATTGATTTTAGTTTAGTTTTAGTTTTAGTTTTAGTACGCTTTTACGGCGCTCGCAACTGCATACGGTCATATGAGCGCCAAAGGGTGGATGTCAACGGAGACGTCCAAACGGGGAATCAGGCTTACTCTTCTCACCTCTCTAGCTTCAACAGCACAAAGTCTGCTTCGACTATCAAGGCACCCCAGAAATAGCAGTTCACAAGAGAGTGTCAAACATACAAAAAAATATAGAAAAAATTACGATAGTAAAGATGAGGAAAGAAAAAGCAGCAGTTCCCCCTATATCGTCCCGGCACAGTATGAGCATAGTACATGTATTGATAAATCAGCCCATTTACCATTCTACTATGCATAAGAACATGTTAATATCCATCCTTTGGGAATGGCCTAAAGACACTTCAGTCAGTAGCACTGCCCTTGGGGGGGGGGGTATACATTTATGAGGTAGACAGAAAACTGTGGATGAAAAAACTCGAGGACGATATCGCTGAGGGAATAAAGCATAGCGAGTCGTTTAAGGTGGACATGGAACAAGTTTTACAGTCTCATTCGCTGCGAGCGATGTTGGTGGCCTGTTATTCTATAAACTTTCGGAAGAAGAAATGACAGGGGAGAACTCCAACTTATTTTAACAGACAATGTGCAGAACAAATCCTGGTGTGGATGCATTTTACGTCTTAGATAATGCACCTGCTCATTAACCTGCAATTGATTCCACATTTTGTTCTCCGATATCTACCTCCTTACTCTCTATATCTCAATATCAATCAACCTTTGATCAAATTGATACAAACTGCTGTACAAACTATGGGTGACATTGATTTGCCCGTAAAATAGATATTTGAGGATATGTAAGGCCACAAATTTTTTGCCGTACTAGGCTATCTATTAGGAATTTTCTGGAATATAGCTAACATGTGTTTACAAAGATGCTGATCTGTTAAGACAATTTGATACAAAGGGTGGAGTGTTTATATTCGATAATCTGTCCCCGTGGTTTTATGAACCCGGCATAATTTAGCAAAATTTGATCATTTTTTGCATAATTTCTGATTATTTTCCTTTATCATTCTTTGTTAAAATTAACAGAATCGCATAATTTCACTTTTTTGGGGCTCATTTTGCCTATTTTCAGATTTTTTATTGCATAAAACTACGGGTACAGGATAATGGGGTAATTATTTGACAAAAAGTTGCTCCACGAATTTTTGCCTGCACTGTGAACATGGATGGCTGGTGCCTCTGTACATAAATCATTCATGGTTTAGCCTGGTCTGACTTTTTTTCACCACCGTTATCCAATGCTATCCAATCTTGACGTCGTGCCAGCTTGTGTATCGGTTCCAATCCTAGGCCACTGTCTAATCATGGCCTGATCCCGAAGTGGACTTCACCAAAGGTCCCACAGGGTCCTCTGGGATCTTTGATTTCATTCATTGCTCGATCCTTTTTAAAAAAGTCCAGATCGGGGGACCCTCTAGGCAAACTATAGATATATCATTTAATCTTCTTCTTCTGGAGTCAGGTCAGGAGCAGACATTGACGATCGTGGTACAGTATCCCATTCCTTCCTGCTGTCTGTCATCTCGTTTTTCTCTTTGTGTAAATTCAAGAATTCAAGTATAAATCCTGGCGCTGACTTTATTTTGTGTAACATAAACCGCCTCAGCTCTTAGAGTACCGAAGGCTCGTGAAGTGAAAAACCATGGGGTACCGCACCAATTTAGAACGCTGAA